TTGCCTATTCGGTGGCCACCGGGTCTGTGTTGTTCGTCTCAGTCAGCCCAAAGTGGCTGTCCACTCCTCTGCTCTTTTCCGTCCCATCTGGGTCGCCAATTTGTGGTGTCGTCTGACGCTCGTCTGAGGAACCACACTCACTCTTGAGTTTTGATGCCAGAAGATACATTTTATTTCATCATCAATGAAAATAAAACGGAGATGCTCTCTGCACCTCCAGCAGAAATATGGGCCCACAACATTAAAAATACAGTAGTATATTTCATTGTACACATGGGGTACTTTTTATCCCTGTGTGCACCAAACCCATCTTGAGTGTTTGTTGCTAAAAAGCTAATTTTTTAGTTACATCTGACCATAGAAGCCAGTCCCATTTGAAGTTCCAGTCGTGTCTGACAACAGAATATGCTGCGGATTGCTTTTGGATGACAGCATTTTCTTTCTCCCAAACAACATGTGGTGTAGGTGCTGTTTGATTTGATTTGATTTTTTAAAGGTTTTCTGACCCCGAGACTCAACTTTTTTCTGCAATTCACCAGCTGTGGTCCTTGGAGAGTCTTTAGCCACTCAAACTCTCCTCCTCACCATGCATTAGGATGATATAGACACACGTCCTCTTCCAGGCAGATTTGTAACATTTTCTGTTGATTGGAAATTCTTAATTATTGCCCTGATGGTGGAAATGGGGATTTTCACTGCTCTAGCTCTTTTCTTAAAGTCACTTTCTAATTTGTGAAGCTCAATTATCTTTTGCTGCACATCAGAAATATATTCTTTGGTTTTTCTCATTGTGATGGATGATTAAGGGAATTTGGCCTTTGTTTTCCCTCCTATTTATATTCCTGTGAAACAGGAAGCCGCCATGGCTGGATAATTTCATGTTCATAATCACCCTGGTATGCTCAAAATTGTAAATATGAATGGGAATATACTTCACAGATATTTTACTCATAAGAATTTCTAGGGGTACCAATAATTGTGTCCAACGTGTATTTGAGAAAAACATTTATTTCATAATGAGATTTTCCCCCATTTTCAATTGTTTTAGTTCAGTGAAAGGTTAGATATTTGTGATTTTTTTTTTAAATAAAAGTTCAAAATGATTAACATTGCAGATTTATTTTCACAGCCTTCTTTGATCATAAATACCAAGGGTGCCAATAATTCTGACCACGACTGTATTAGCATTTCCATGTTCTCTAAAAGCAGATTTAACATTGGCTGTTAGGTGGAAGTACCTTTTATATTCTTTGACTTGAATAAAATGTATTGTGTCTTTGCTTTTTTCTTCCAGGTCCTTTTATTGAGCGAGCAATTGTCTGCAGTAGGTCAAGTGAGGGTTTGCACATTAAAATCGAAGAATTATTACCACAGGAAGAGAAAAAGGCATGACATTTTTGCTTTGTATATATTTGCATTGTACAAAACATTTAGACTAATAAAATGGTCTAACTGTGATTTTATTCTGAAGTCAGTTTATACAGTAGCATGTTTTAGGTATGGAAGTAACACGGTTAATGGCCCATTGTGGTCAATAAGGATGCCCTGTTGCAAAGAATTTCAGCCCACATTAAGCATCTTAATGGAGATCAATTTGTGATGGTATGGAATGCCAAAAACGAATTGCATATGGTTACAAATGTTGCCTTAACACTATTACCCCTGTATCTACACTATTTACATTTACAGTTATGCATTTAGCAGATGCTTTTGTCCAAACCAATTTATAAAAGAACAAAACCAGTTCATCAAAGAGCCAACGATATTCATAATATACAATGCCAGGTTTAGAAAACTAGATTTGGAAACAAGCTAGAGAAGATGATAAATGAAGAGAAGAATACGTTTTTCAGTGTGAAAATGCATTGGTGGCTGAGGCCTTCTGTGGGGTATCTTTTTTTCTTGCCCTGTCATCCCCTACCTATAACAGCAGGTGGCAGTAGAAACTCACTTTTTCTAAACTAATTAAACTCAGATTGTATGGCAATGCAGTACGTTTTGTCTTCATTTTCGTCTTTTTCAAAATATCCTTGTTAAGGTCAAAGAAGAACAAAGACAGGCTTTTGCTACAATAGCTATGCATGTAAATATTTAAGTATTTAATTACAAGAAGCATTGGTATCTTAGGAAGAGAACAATCATGATTTTATAGAAATGCTTACTGTATGTGAAGAGATTTTAAAAACAGCATGGTTTAAAAGGTCTGAATGTATTTAAGTTTACAAAATGTGCAAGGTTTTTCTGTTTTTGGCCTTGAATGAGCACCGAGCAAGGATCGGATTGCGCTGCTGCACGTAACCCAGGAATCTTTGACCTTTGACTATTTTATGTAGTGTCTAAATCATTTTTAAATAATAATTCTAGTGCACGCACAGCGTTATAGAAATATAATTTGCATGATTCCACCAAGTTTGGAATGCATTTTTAAACAAAAAATGCAATAACCTAAAGAAATCACAAGAACGTTAATTTGGCTCATCATAGCGTTCACAGAAGACTACCTCAAAATCTAATACCCGTCCAAACTTTGATGGCCACAGGTTTTGTTCCCACAGTGGTAGAGGGAGAGGAGGGGCTCCTCAACTCGTGAATGCAGCTGCTCGTGTCTCCAATAACTCACTTTAAAGAGCGGCTCGTACGCTCGGTGGTTGTTAGTGCGTGTTCCTCTGTAATTATTCGTGTTCAAGTTGTCTTTGCAATGGCCCCGTACTTTTAATAGGAAGGGTTTTCGTGTGGGAACCGCTCTCTCTGAGGAAGTTTCGCTGGAGAGCGCACTGGACTGTATCTGCTCGGAGTCGGACTGGATGCTTCCCACGATACCGACCGTCAGCTAGACTTCAAGCTCAGGCGCTGGTGATTGATTTGAGTCCGCAGGAGAGCAGCGATGATAAGCACTAATTCACATTCAAGTTAAAGCCATTGTATTTCTGAGCATTTTGGATTAACACAGTTTCTAAAGTGAATATGGGTCCTGTTTGGATCCTTCTAACCGTTTTAATTGGATACAGCACTAGCTTGCCCGGAGCACAAGGTTGGTGTTTCTTTTATAGTTATTTTTCTGAATTCATTGGTAAATATGTTGCCTAATATAGATACAACTCGCAGATCAACGCGCATGCTTTTTTTCAACTGTTAGTTGCAATAAAATAGATATACAAATCTGGATAAATCAGTTTGTAGGTACTCGTAGAAATATGAGATAAAAAGCACCGTGCAATAGAGAGTCCTATAATATTAAATAACTATGACTGATGTCTCAGACTAGTGATGTTGTTTATGAAACGGCGCCCGCATCCCGTAGCTATCTGTTCTCTTGCTCTTCCCACATCAGCTTGATACATTTGCATAAATTCAATATAACTCACTAGCTAGTGGTTATTATAAGTTGTTTGACAGTAAACATTATTGCCATTGTTTCTAAAGATATGTATTTCATGAGGGAAGCATGCTTTCTTTGAGAAGTAAAACTTCATAACACATCATAACACGGTTAACTTCATCTTCACAAGAGTTTCTGGACCATGTTTTCACGGTTACCTGCTTGCAATCTAATGCAGTTTTTATAGTCTTAAATGCGTTTGCTTTCTGATTTGTTTGTCTGGTTTTTAAAATATCTTTACATAATACTGTTTAGCTGCATAAAAAAAAATACTTAAACAGTTAATGGTCTTTCAGTCATTATTTCATTTTGTATTTGTGTTAACATGGTAAATTAATGTCAAACCTCTAAAACCAAGCAAGATCGTAACATGCTGACATCCTTTTCTCTTTACAGCCTTTGAGGGTCAACTGTTAAATTTCATTAATGCACCTTGTGACAATCTTTTGTGTTCTTTCACATTGGGCAACAACAAGGGCATTTATGAATGTCCAAGACATTGCCGAACACATGATTGCCATGACTGTGACATTTGTCCACAAGTAGCCTAGTCATGAACTTGTCAATTAGCCTGCAAGTGAAAGCTGATGTATTGATCCTTTTCCACTCTTGTTCACCTCATTTTCTTCATCCACAGGAGCATGTGTCCATCAAGGCTCATTGTTTGCGGTACGTATCCATTCCTCTTCTTATTTTCATTTCCTTTTAATCTGATTAATGTACATGTGTTGAGATCTGGGGCTTTAAGCAATAATCCTGGCCCATTTATGCAAGACATTGTGTTGTTAATTATTTAGAGGCCCATTATCAGCACTGGCATTGAAAGGATTCACCTGATATCAGTCAGAATAGGTCTCACAGTCACTACAGACGTATTTGAGGAGAAGTGCCTTATAAATAATGAACGTGCTAACTTTGTGAATGGTACACTCTTAAAAATAAAGGTGCTTCAAAAGGTTCTTCAAGCGATGCCATAGAAGAACCATTTTTGGTTCCACAAAGAACCATTCAGTCAAAGGTTCTTTAAAGAACCATCTCTTTCTTACCTTTTTGTAATCTGAAGAAACTTTTTTCGCCACAAAGAACCTTTTGTGAAACGGAAAGGTTCTTCAGATGTTAAAGGTTCTTTATGGAACCATTTAGACAAAAAGGTTCTTCTATGGCATCGTGAAGCACCTTTATTTTTAAGAGTGTATGAGGATGAGATGGTCTAGAATCAGGGGTTCTTCTCAACTCTGGCCCTCAAGGTCCACTGTCCTGCAGAGTTTAGCTCCAACCCTAATCAAACACACCTGAACAAACTAATCAAGGTCTTCAGGATTGCTAGAAAGATACTGGCAGTTGAGTTTGATCAAGGTTGGAGGAAAACTCTGCAGGAACGTGGATCTCGAGGGCCGGCCAGAGTTGAGAACCCCTGGTCTAGATTACGTATCTTGAGAAATGGAAAGAAACCATATATTCAGGTGTCTCTTCGACAGCTCATTGCAAATTGCAAGGCAACTCTCAGATTCCCATGCGTTTTGTGGTTGTGAATGATGAGACTGGCCTTTTGTTGTTCCTTCTGCAGAACTAATGGTTTGGATGTTAACGTGTGTAATTTTGAAATTCATCCATGATTACTTGCAGGAATAGTGACATTGTAAGTGCACAGAAACACTTTCTTGTAGAACACAACCTTCATGGAACTGTGGTGCACAACAGGTTTCCTTCGTGGTTTAATGGAGAGTAATGACACATCTCTGTCGCTGCTATTGTGTAATGACAGTAATTAAAAGTAGTGTAAACACAGCAGCAGGATTTCTTCCTTTGCTCCCTGAGAACTGGGAATGGAAGTGAATGGTATGTGTGCATTGTTCCCTATAACATGGCTCCTCATGGGATTCAAGAGGCTTTGTGGGGAAAAGGGGGAGAGGGTTGGGAAGACAGTCACGGACAGGTGGAGACATGCTGGAGGGAGTCAGGAAGAGGATCTTTGGAGTTCAAAAGAAAAGTCAGCCAAAACACCTGGACAAGGAGCCATAGAGTCCTGATATGGAAAAAGAGAGGATTTAAATAGTAATTATGACTCCAAACTCTTTTCAGAAGTTGTTAGCAAAATCAAAGCACTACTTAAGATAACAAGTGAATGGTTAAACCCAGTCAAAACTGGGTATACAAAAAATGTTGGTTTCTTGGTGTATTAGAAGTATTGGTAAGACTTTCTGTGAAGCCCGTATTTATAATACATTATAAGAGTATTCTTAAGGCATTATAATGAATGCATAATGTATTATAAAAAAAAAACTTATAATATGTTATAATATATCATCTCATGAGTTATTATTTAAAAATAATTATAATTATTTTATATTATAATTAAAATAAAACAGTTTTAATGCATTATAATATTGACTTATTTGTGGTTATAGCCTTTACGATTATGATTTATAATACACAATGAACACAATGCATCAACTTAACTAACAATGGATTATATTTCCCATAGATATAATGTATTAGAACTCTCATATCTTGCCATTGTTAACTTGTTACTTTACTTAAAGCAGACAAAGACCACTTATAAATAATGACAACAATAAAAATAAAAAATTATATTTTTTCTTAAACAGCGATAAGATCAGATATCTGATCAGATGAATGTGTAATATGGCACATTTGATTTTTACTATACTTATTGCAATATCAGTAAGATAGTAAGATACTGTACAGATCTTAAATAATGTCAAGATATGAGACTTATAATCCATTATAAATGAAGTGGATTTAACATGGTGTTTATTGGGTGTTATAAATAATCATAAAAGTTATAACCACAAATAAGTAAGTTTTATGAAGTATTATAATTGTTGTTATGATTATCTATGAGATGAAACAACATATTATAAGTTTTATAATGCATTATGCATTCATTATAATGCCTTAAGAATACCCTTGTAATGTGTTATAAAAATGGGCTTCATAGGAAGTGATACAGAAATATAAGAGATTTAATTCTGTAATACAGCTTTCTTCAGATTGCTAATTATGTGTTTTGTGTTCACTTTTTAACCCTTTGTTTGATGACAATGAAAGAAAGTGAAGGTACACATTACCGTTTAAAAGTATGGGGTCAGTATAACTTTTGTTTGGAAGACACATTTATTCAGCAAAGTTGCTTTAAATTGATCAAAAGTTACTGTAAAGACATTTATAATGTTACAATTTATAGTTTACAGAAATACAGATAGTTTTATCTGTATTTTTGATAAAAAATAAATGCAGCCTTGGTGAGCACAAGAGACTTTTTTTAATAACCTAAAACTTTATTGGGCCCAAATATTGTTATGGTGGCAGAAACTAACCATTTGTTGTGTGTAACAGTGACATGTTTATGTAATTATTGTTGTGTGACATTAGGTTGAGCATGTAATTGTAATTTGAAGAGCCTGTGGAGAGTTATTTGGCAGTTGGTCTAAAGTTTTTCTATCATTATTTATGACTCTACTACTTCAGCCTTCAGCGTTTTGAAAACAGAGGGTTGAATACAACTGAACTAAAACAGTAGATGATATGACAGATGCGGGACTTCTCAAGAGTGTTAATTTCGTCTACAGCAGTTTGT